TTTCCAAGGCCTGCCCTCCTTCCAGAATGGAGTCCAGGTCTACCTCTAGGTCATTTGTCTCAGACATTTTATCTTATTTCTGGACATGTGTTGATATGGTCAACCATCTGCTTTTGCTTCTTGGACATATTTATTGTTCATCTGTGGCCTTAATACTTAATTGAGTATGTGTTTCTGGTATTTTTAATACCTTTTGATTGCGTCCAGGTAGATGTGATCAGGATGTGGGCTTCCCTTTTCACTCTTCTTATTGCTTAACTCAGAGTAACTTTCATAGGTGTTTTCTGCCTCGCTGGTGTATGACAGTTGGTGTTGGTTCTTGCCTGGATTTTGGTGTTTTATAGAGTGTGATTGTAGCTTGACCATACGGCAGCCATTGCTGTCTCTTCTTGGGTAATATAGGGAGAGAAAGAGTCCCCCAAAGGTAGACGGGGGAGCATAAAACAGCAAAACAGCACCAGCAAAAAACCCAAAAACAACAACAACAACAAAAACTAGACTGAATACTGTAGTCTATAATTGCAGTAAAGGGAGAGGAGGGAGAGAAGAGAAAACAAAAAAAAAAATCTGTAGCCGAATATGAGTATGACTTCAATGTCCTCTTTCAGCTTCTTGGCTTCATAGCTGCCTGAGAGAGTTCAAGGTGCCACTGTTGGTTGTTATGCTGTACCTCAGGATTTAATTTAATTTTCAGCCTGTTTTGTTTTTAAACTCTCTTTCCTTCTCCATGCTTCTTGTTCTGGCTTTTCTGTATTAAAACAAACAAACAAACAGTTCAGTGTCAGCTCTTGGTTTGAGAGAATCTGTGTGCATGCGTGGTAGAAGGACCAACCAGTGGTGAGGGTAGGGGTTGTCCACTCGCTCAGGCACCCCCTCTAGTCACCAGAATGGAAGTGGGTAAACAGTGGGGGGGGGCAATGAACAGATATAGAAAAAAAGAAGATCAGAACCAGACAAAACCGACAAAGTGTATTGCCCACCTTTGCTCCGAGGTTCCTGAAACATTTTTCCATGGTGTGTCTGCTCCCCAACTTGGTCTTGCCCTTTGGTCTTGCCCAAGTTGTCAACTCCATGCCACCGAGCCCGGCAGATTCAAAAGTATGCAATTTCTCACTTTTGCTACAAGTTCCACTAGCTATAATCCTTCAAACCTTTTAAATATCCCTATCTATGTGGTTCCAAGCCATGGTGTTTTCAATAACCTCATTCGCATGTGAAAGCTGGACAGTGAATAAGGAAGACATAGGAGAATTGATGCCTTTGCGTTATGGTTTTGGAGGAGAATACTAAAAGTGCCATGGGCTGCCAAAAAAACAACAGATTCATTTTGGAAGGAGTGCTGCCAGAGTGCTTCTTAGAGGCCAAGATGGCCAAACTTTGTCTCTCATACTTTGGACATATTGTCAGAAGGGACCAGTTTTTGGAGAAGGATATCATGTTTGGTAAGGTTAGAGAAAAAGAGGAAGACCCCCAATGAGATGGATTGGCCAAGTGGCAACATCGATGGACTCAAGTATGGCAACAATAGTGAGGTTGGCCCAGGATTGGGCAGTGTTTTATTCTGCTGTGCATAAGGTCACTATGAGTCGGCACCGACTCAAGGGCACCTAACAACAACAGCAACATGTGGTTCTGAAGGAGCTCTGGTAGCGTAGTGGTTACAGATTGGGGTGCGAGCCGCAAGGTAAGCAGTTCGAAACTACCAGCTGTTCTGCGGGAGAAAGATGAGGCTTTTTGCTCCCATAAATATTTACAGCCTCAGAAACCTTGTACAGGGTTGCTATGAGTCAGAACCGACTCCATGGCACATAACAACAACAACAATGTGGTTCCGAGTTTTGGAGCTCTGTCCTGAACCTGCTTTGCCTGGTATTCTGTGGTATTGCTGATGGCGATCCTCACTGCACCTCCACCCTAGCAGCCATCAAGCCCCGCCTCTTAGTACCATTGACTCTTGGTTATACGCTACCTCTTGAAATAAGTGATCACTGACCATTTCTTTTTGGTACAGTTATTCTGTATTCCTTCCATCTTCTTTTGGTGCTTTCTGCATCATTCAGTATTTTTTTTTTAATTAAATGTTTTTATTTTGCATTGAGTGAAAGTTTACAGGGCACATCATCAGCTTCACATTCAACCATTCATAGCTTGTTTCATTATATTGATCATTATCCCCGCCATATATCATCAGTTTACAGTGTTTCTCTCTATCCTCTTTAGCTTTTTTTTTTTTGGATGGGGGGGACTTGCCTTTTGGAATTTACAGTCTCGGCTTTTAGGGAAGGTTTTTACATTTATCTGTGGATATCCAGGGCTCATGTATGAGATTACTAACAAGCATTACTGAATAATCAGATGAGGGACAGTTTGCTATGTCTACTAGGTGGCTAAAGTCTGATCCTCAGAGCCTATGGTTTGGACGGTCAACAACCTTGGGCCCACAGGGGCTTGGCCTCCTGACCGGGTCTGTACTGTCTGCATCTGAGTCCTCCTTATTTATTGATTGTTTAAGGGACGCTGCCTGTCTTAGGTGGTCAGTGCAAATTCCTCAGTCTTACCAGTCATTGAGACTCATTGCAGCATGGCAATGTCTCTGTCTTAAGTAGCCGAGGTTCCACGTGATCCTTACCCGTCTCTGACCACACGTCCAGCATAAACAGCCGCCATCCGAGGAAGGCAGGGAGGGAGGAGATCAGCTGGGGACCCCATGCGCCCGACGTTGCCGGCCCACCACCTGCTCTAAGGTGACCAAGCAGGATCACTATGCTGAGGTTCAATCCAGTTCTTAGGGGATCTTACTCTCTAGCAGGGGTAGCAAATGAGTAGCCACTCAGTGTTCACTTTGAGAATTACTTATATCATAAATTTGAGCATGTAGCTGATGAATATCCCCAGACAAGTGTCATCATTCAGTATTTTGTCCATAGAATCCTTCAATATTGCAAGTGAAGGCTTGAATTTTTCCTTCAGTTTCTTCCGCTTGAGAAATGCTGTGCATACTCTTCCCTTTTGGTTTTCTAATTCCATGTTTTTGCATGTCTCATCATACTTGAGTATGGTGTCTTCCTGTCAATGCCCCATGTCTATTTTATTTCACCTTGAAAACTTCTGCAGAGAAATAATTAGCCTGTTTTTTAATTCTACCCTTTAAAATTTGTTGTTACAATTTTAGGAAAAAAAGATTTTTTCCATCTATGGACACTACCCAGTGATCCGGGCAGCTCTGCGAAGGAAGGGCTGGGTGGAGAAGAAGTTTCACTTTCTGCCCAAGGTCATTCTGCATGTGGAAGATGAAAGTGAAGGGGTGACTGGTAGAGTATTTAAGATGTTTGTCTCAAAGTAAGATGTGTGGTGTGCGCTCTGTTGTAAAGACGGTGTGAGTGCAGGGCTGCAATGCTGACCCCTCCTGGCTCCATTTATGAGTATTACTGGTTCCTTCCTTTGGGGGCAGTGCACCCACCTTCCTGACCCCAAAGGAGTCTGGGAGCCTGGCCAGAGCTCCATGTCATTAGTGCTCAAGCCCAAGCCAGACCTCATCCTGTGTGTGGACCATTCTGCTGACCTCTGGGACCACCCCTCCTCAATGGGAGGCCTCTCCTGGATCATGTGTCCCTCCCTCACAGGATGCCCCTCCTGATCAATGCCCCTCTGTCACAGGATGTCCCCTCCCCCATCACACACCCCTTCCCCACAGGATGCCCCTCCTCCATCACACACCTATCACACACCATGGGATGCCTCTCTTCCATCACACACCCCTTCCTCACAGGATGCCCCTCTCCCATCACACACCCCTTCCTCACAGGATGCCCCTCCTCCATCACACACCTATCACACACCATGGGATGCCTCTCCCCCATCATACCCCTCCCTCACAGGATGCTCCTCTCCCATCATACACCCTTCCCTCACAGGATGCCCCTCTCCCCCATCACACTCCTCCCTCACAGGATGCTCCTCT